GACTTGGGACACCCTAAATCTCCCAAGTGGCGACTCTGAAATAAATAACCAATCCCGTTTCGATTGTCCTTTAATTGGAAAAAACTCCCTTGCGCCCTCGCGGGTGCGGAAAAAGGAGGTGTGACAAGCATAACCAATAAGATTGAAATTGTCACCTGAAGGATAATACAGAATCAAGTCCTGTGTGCCCTTAAGATGTCTCATAATTCTCTTAGTAGCCTTCATATGAGATTCCTTAGGATTTGATTGGAACCTTGCACATAATCCTACACTAAATACAATGTATGGCCTGCTAGCAGTAAGGTAGAGTAGAGATCCAATGATTCCCCTATACAATGTTTGATTTATAGGTGATCCAGAATCATCCATGTCTAGCTTTGTAGCAGTAGCAATAGGGGTATTGATCACCTTTGATGCTTCCATATCAAACTTTTTCAAAAGTTCTTTGATGTATTTCTGCTGACTGATACACGTTCCCTTTATGGACTGCTTTACTTGAAGACCCAGGAAGACGTTTATTTCCCCCATCTTACTCATTTCAAACTCACTTCCCATGAGTTTAGCAAATTCTTCACATAATGAGTCAGTTGTAGCCCCAAATATGATGTCATCCACATAAACCTGAACAATGAGCAAGTTCCTTCCCCGTTTCTTCAAAAATAATGTATTGTCAATCTTTCCTCTTGTGAAACCATTTTCCAAGAGAAACTTGGATAGTCTCTCATACCAGGCTCTAGGGTCCTGCTTCAATTCGTATAGTGCCTTATCCAATTTGAATACAAGTTCAGGATGTACATGACATTCAAAACCTGGAGGTTGCTTGACATAGACTTCTTTCTTGAGAAAACCATTTAGGAAGGTACTCTTCACATCCATTTGGAATAAGGTGAATTCCATAAGTGATGCAAAGGCAATGAGGATCCTAATAGCTTCCATGCAAGAAACTGGGGCAAAAGTCTTATCATAATCAATCCCTTCTTCCTGATTGTTTCCTTGGACAACAAGCCTTGCTTTGTTCCTTGTAGAATTTCCATATTTTTTTTGGCAATCCGCTAGGCAAGCTCATAGGGGTAGTTTTTTATTAATAAAAAAAAAAAAATACAACAATTAGGAAAAGTACAAATAAGGGGGACAATAGCACCGGTATTGTTACCCATATGCCTTGGCTATATAATCACTCCTCTGCGCCTCACACTGCCTTATGATGACAACCTCATGTAGAGGATTCATGGTGTAGCTGTCGGCAATGTCTCACGAGGGCATATAATGTCATAGCCATGTGGATATTTTTCCAAAGGCATAGGACCAAGGCAACACAAACCGGGCTAAACCTTAACTTACTAATCCTATTGAGGCAAATAAAAAGCCTCGCTTACTAACAAGCATGTAAAAAGAAAGAACTGGAAAGTACCAAATATTTAATGATCATCACAGAGTTTATAACATATTCTGTGATGATATTACAAATGAGTATACTAACATAATGGTAGAATAAAATGAAGATGGAATTAAATTGTTGTCCCTTCTTGCCCAAACTTGTAAATTCTTCAATTTGTAATTCTTTGTCATCACTGTCCCAACTCTTCAAAATGTCTTCAAAATTCATGACTTCTTTTTTGAGCGGTTGGACCTCGTGGATGTAGTTGGGGCATCCTGCTTTTGTTTGGCAACTCTCATTCGAAGTCTCCTAACATTTAAAAAATCACTGACCTTGCCGTCCCAACTATTTTTTCTTGTATGTGTCTTCTTACCTTTGTCGCTATGCATAGGTGATAAATCTCCTTTTCTTGCGTCCTCTGCTCTGCATTGTTGTATCATTGCATCTTCCTCTCCTTCTTCATACAAGTCTCTCCCCAAGTGTACTGGTTGTGGATTATTTTGTTCAAACCCAAGTGACACCAATGTGTTTCCATCTTGATTTTTAGCCACTATTGCCTTGTTTTGATTTTGTTCAGTGAGTTGCATATTTTTTCTGCTTCTACTCATGCGTCTAGTGCTACCCACAGTAAGATTTAAAGAGTTAATTGGATTGGAACTTACCATTGAATCCAATAACTTCCTCTCCTTTAATGAAATAGCAGGATTGGTTGTCACAATCTGCTGCTGCCCCATCGTTTGAATCACTGTAGTGGACTGCTTCGATTCTACAGTTTGAACCAATCTTCCAGCTACTGCTTGTTGATCACCATTACGCCTATCAGTTGGAATGTTTTCCATGGCTTGTTGTTGCTGCTTGGACTGTGTTGCATAGGTGTGAGCTAAATTTCCAGCTCTTGCATTTCGAGTTGCTGTAGTTGTTGTTGTAGCATCGTGCCTTTTTCCAGTGTGCTGTTGTTATTCAATAGCTTCTTGTGCTTCTGATGTTTGTTCCTCCACAGATGTCACAGCTGGTATGATTGCATTACTCTGTTGTTGTTGTCCAGGCCTTGCTGCATTTTTCAGTAGAGAAACACCTGCTATGTTTGGTCCAGCATGTTGTTTTCCAGCTTGAGGCACAAAAGCTGGTGCTGTTGCATTAAGTTTTCTATTAGAGTTTACCTTTGTGGAGCTGCCGATTTTAGGTGCTATTGACAGCACCTCCTCATCCCCACTACCCTTCTCACCTTCATCAGAAGAATCCTCCGCAAAACCTATGCCCAAATCTTCTTCATCTTCATATTCACGTTGGTTAGCCCATAGCTTAGAGTTAATATCCATCAACTGTATTACCTCATTATTATATCCTATTGATAAACTAGGCTTTCCAGATTCACCTTCAAACACCCCAAACGACTCCACTGATTGAGATGGGACATCAAACACGGAAGTGTTCAGCGTGACAAAAGGTTGTTTAGCCAATGTACAATTCATCATCATTTCATTTTGGGCATTTTTGATGATTTGCTCTAGATGAGGATTGGAAAATTGCAGCATAGGTACATTGGAACTATGAGCTTGGAAGCCTTCATTACTACTTGATCTTGCCATCAGTTCAGTCTGCTCATGTACTGCAGCGTGGATATCAGGTATTGTTAAAGTCCCAACAGCCTGTTCCTTCACTCGAGCACCAGTTTTGTGAGAAATGTGTTGTTGCTTTCCACTAGTTGTAGAGTTGTTTTTTCCATATTTTGAGATTGTATCTCCACATACCAGTCCCAATTTCTTAGCATGATCATTCTCTCCATCTTCTTGTTCAATGACCAATGCACCAAAAGCATTACTACACCTAATGTCTTCTGATGCAACTTCTTGCATTTTAAGATTTGTAGCAGCCCTTTTATTATGTGACACAACTGACCAATTTATCTGCTCAACACAAGTTGAGGCTCGATTACCATCTGCCACACCATTCACTACATTACCAATTTCTGTAGCAACTTCAGTTCGATTGTCAATTGATTCTTTTGTAAAACACCCAGTTGAAGCTTTAGACAAATTCTGCTTATCATAGGCTTCCACAACTGGATTAACCACATTAAAAATCCTTGCTAATGTTGTCTTAGCAGGAACATCACATGAAGGTTTAGGTGGACCTTTATCGATCATTGAAACTTCACCTACAACAGGATGCCCAACTCTGTCACGATCAGCTACTGTTGTTGCATTGCCCTCCACCATCTGCTGAAGATGCTCAGGTTCACAAGGTGCAATAGCACCTATATTAACAATGGTAGATGCATGTCGATCCTCAGTTGCATTCAATGCAACAACAACCTCCTGATTCGATCCTACAATAGCTGGAATTTTTACAGCTTTTTCAACTTGTCCTGCCCCTTAACTATTCTGCCCAGAACTAGTAACAACTAGATCAACAGCCTCCTTCAAAGCACCAGTTGCATTCATTCGTGCAAAAATTGTGGCAGCATGGATATCAGCTGGAAGTTTAGCTTTCATAGGAGTTGATGCATCACCTACTACTATCCCTTGTTGCTTATTACCAGTCATTACTTGACTCAAATCAAATTCTTGAACACCTGTTCGATTACCAGCAGCTATCCCTTCACCATCTCTTTTTTGTCCAGCACTAACCACGATCAAATCTCCATTAACCTTTTCAGTAACAACAACATTTTGTTGTCCTCTATGCCTCACTCGATTCTCAACAGTTCCTTCATCCACATTCCCAGCTTTAACCAAATTCACTGCACTGGAAATTCTAGCTAGAGCTCGATCAACTGGAATATCGGCACGGCTTGATGCATTAGTTATTTTTTTGCAACTTAGCATTTAAATAATCCTTAGCATCCCCTTGTAATTTTTCCACTTTGCTCATCTCCTCAGCCAAAGCCAAAACTTCAGTAGGCACTACACGATCATCATCAACTTGAGCATTTTGCATTTTCTTTCCTTTTAACAAACGACCCTGAGTTTTTTCATGTCCTTGATGCTTACAGTGGGAGAAATATGCATGCAAATTATCATAGACAATTGTTTGGAAGTCCTCGACAATCTTTCCAGATTTGGAATCAATGTATTGCAGCCTCACCTTATCTGTATGATGATCCAGCAGATCCAAGATCACCTTCACTCCCGTTGTGCTTGGACGTGACTTAACTTGTGTGGCCTTATCAATGGCAATTGGCCTACCAACTGCAGTTGTGATGGACATTAAAGGTTTGCTTGCAAACAAGTCAGGTGACAGATTTGGAAGTGAAATCCAAATTGTCGCCTTAGATGTTTCCTCCTTAGGATTATATCCAACACTCCAGGGAAAAGTTCTAAATTGGTGTTCCTTTCCAGCGTGTTGAAAGTAATTAACAGGTCGTGACAATGAACAAACAAAATCTTCATATTGATCACAACGCAGCAAAATTTGTCTATGAGTAAGTAAACCTAAAACATAATGACCTTTAATACATATGGTTTTCGCCAGTAAGCTTCTTAGCACTTGCAAATCTGGTGCACCAAAGGTTATCTTGACTACAACAGCTTGGTGTAATCCTTCTTCTTTTGCAAATTGCTCTCGTTCGTCCAAAGTAAACTATAGTGTAGGAATTCCATGCACAAGAACCGTAGGTTTGAGTTGAAATTTTGTGATAGGTGGGACTGTTTGTTGGGTATTAACGCACGCTGCATATGTGATGTTGTTACTAAGGGCAGTAACTTTCTTAGCCTTTTGGATTTGCTCTCCCATAGCTTGGGGATGGGGAGAGACGACATCATCCATGGCTGCTCAAAACATTACATAATTGACGTGAATAACATCAATTAAAGCCTAAATCTGGAAAACAAATCTGGATGCTACAGTAACTCGCGAGATAGAGTTTAAGATCTGGAAAAATTGGTTACGAATTTGAGGATGAAACCAATTGGGGATTGTGCGCAAAGAGTAGATGCTTCTTTTGACACCAAGATTGCGACAATCTACCGCCAGATACCGGAGTTATAGCTCGATGAAAAGTGACGGAAGTACTATCCACCTTCTTCCTAGAGAGAGAAATGTTTGGAATGATAATTTCCATGTTCATCTAGCTTATTCGTGAATATCCACCTGGTCCCTATGATGGTTCTCTTTGAGGGTCTAGGTACCAGGTTCTATACCTTGTTTC